AAGATTAAATATCAAAATGAAAATTTCTTGGAAAACATTATATTTATCAAGACATATTGGAATCGCTTGTAGTTATCAGTATCCTTACTTGTTCTATCGTTGTCACTTTCACCTTGAACATTTATGGTAATTTTGTCTTTCGCGAAATCAAGAGCAAGTTCCTTCGAAGCATAAAATCCTTCGAAACGTTTAGCGTGTTCGCAACGTGTTTCCACTACTGTTGAGAAAATGAATTGAAGATTCAATTCGTCACATAAACTTTCAATGGATTTTAAATTGAAGTCCACATTTTCATTAGCCACATACTATTTCAGTGATGCCCGTACTAATTCTATTGGGTTCAAATATAGATGACAAGGAGACAATCACAAATCCATTTGTGAAAAATTCATGTCTATATCAACTACTACTATATCGAAATGGTCACTACAAGATTGTTGTTAAAACTGAACTCCGATCGTTTTTAAGGGTTTTCTAACACGCTCATCTTACGGGAGGTCCTAAGCCGAGACTCTGAAGCCGCTTCCTAGATTTGACAAGCTGTACTGTTCATATCTTGTTTATCTGAATAAGTAGATAAATCTCACGACATGATTTTGTATCATAGAAATTGAGTAATGAATTTTATTCAATTTGAAGTTGTGTAGCGTTTATAAACACCTACTGTGCTTTTTATTTATTTTTTATGTAAACGAAGGTAATCCTAGATGATTTTAAAGAAAGTTTCCTGAGGAGTAGGTAATCCAAATTACACCTTATATATAAATGAAATATCCCTTTTTTTATTACTTACAAATTTCTAGGTCGTCTCGAATGTTCTTTGTTATTCATTTTCTCAATACACGTATGATTATTAGTTTCTAGGACAGATTGGTAAATTTTTTTTTCCAATAGGACCGATTCAATCGGATCCTTTCGAGGTAGGATTTCTATATTCGTTAAACCGAAAGTCAAGAATGAGGTATTGCCAAAATAATTTGGGTGAATTCCTCGAAATAGACTTGCGTGGTAGGTGATCCTTGATCATGAGAACAGCCAAGAAGATGTGGCATTTTGGAAGAGAGTGATGAACGAGAATCTCGAGAAGGGATTTTTCAGTGGTGAGCCGTGTGGTCCAATTTCAAGAATTTGAACGAAATTATTTGAGATATAGTTTCATATATAGATTTTGAGAGTTCCATTAAAATTTGCATTTCCCGTTGGTTGGGCTACCTGTCAGGCGCGTTCCCAGGTGGCGGATGGGGGAACGACCAGGAGACTAGAGGTCCTGCCCGGGAAGCCCATGTAACCCTACGGACGGAGTAGCCGGACTCCTGGTCAGTGGCAGAAATAAGTAGGGAGAGGGGAACTGAAACCTCCCATAATCCTTTGCAAAACATGCCACCGCAGACCAACCTGCCCAAGCTGAGGTGTAAGGAATCGTGCCGATAGCTGAATGGCCGCAGGGTGATATGCGGTTACGAACAATCTCCTTGGGGAACTGGGCAAAACCTCAATGTAATCAGCCATCCTCTGGTAATGCGGGGCTTTGCCAGAGGTGCCCAACTTTTCTCTTGCTACTCGTGGGAACACACATAAATGAAACAACACAAAAACTGAAACAACAAAAACAAAAACTAATCCCGAGGCTGGACAGAAGTGCTCACCTCAATCTAAGGCGGTGGCTGGAGATGAACAGAAATGTCCACCTCAATCTAACGTTTGGAATGAGGCCAGACATAGCAGATCACCTCCAACAGCAAGGGCACTTTCTGCGGCGGGCGCCAAGAGCTCCACCTTGAATAAAGGCAAGAAACCGGCTGCCCCTGCAGCTACTTGTGAACTTCCACGGAGGGAACTCCAAGTACCCCAAGAAGGTTGAAGAAGCCGCGCAACGGCACTAATATCGCTGCACCTTCGCAGAGGTCACCGTGAGACACCTCAAGGTTGGCAAAGAGAGTGTGTGTTCGGCGAGTCTTGGCCTACACCTGCCAGTATGAAGAAGATGTCTTCTAGTGACCTGTTCGCCTTCCTGGAAAGGACAGGATGGACGATGACCTAGGAGGATAACTCTTCGGAAGGATGTACAATGGTTCATGTGTGGCCTAAGTGCTGTGAGTCTACACTCACCCTTCCTACTCTACAGATACCAGAAAGGTTGCACTTCCTGAGGATTCAACTGGGTCACAACCACATTTCCAGAACGAGCGACGCCATCTCTTTGAAAACGTTTTTCGTGATTGATTTTTGGTTGAAGGAAACCTCGTTTAGGAAGGTATGGAAACTCATTTCGATCATTTCAATTGCATATGAGATTCACCTTTTAGTGAATCGAACTTTTGAATGAATTTCTATTATGGAATTTTTTTTCAGGGCTTTATTGTTGGAGACTTTAACGATAATTTTTCTGCAGAAGAGTCTCTACAGAACTTGTCTGGAACCATTGAAGAAGAAAGAAGAAGGACTTCTATCTCTGATTGCCGTACGGAATAGATTTTTAGTTAATTTTCCAAATGGTGGGTTTTCATTCGTCCAGTAAGATAAATGGTATTGTTCACGTCCATGAGATACTCTGAGTCCATTTTATCAATTAGAAAAGATTGTGTTCCAAGTCTGTCTCGTTTCTGGTCGAAGAAAACTACAGTTACAGCTCGACGAGAAACTAACAGGCAAATATTACTTACACTTGACTAATTTCTTCGGAAATAACCACTTTTTGCAATAGAAATACTGATTTACCGACATGATACAATAATTGAATTTTGAGTTAATATCCATTTATAATGTAAACCTGAACTGAGTATACTCTGGTGAGGTAATTTTGGCACCATTCCTAATAATTGTTTTTTTCTATGGAATGAATCTTATAAGTAACACTTTTCCTGATAGTTTTACCTGGACCATCTTAAGATAAGTGAAAGCGTACTTTTATCTACGATCATTATTGAGTTATTACAATTTTAATTTTTTTTCACACGATTAAATGACAGATTTTGATTTCCACGCTTAATCAATTTACCAGCCAGTATTTTGTGAATATCAAGAATCTTCAAAATATCAAATTTTTGGGATAGAAAGTTTTTGGCTTTCTACTACTCCATCTTGATACAAAAAAAAAGATGAGGGAATCTCATCCAATTTTTAAATTGATTACTTCCTTACTAAGGAAGTAATCAATTTGAAAATAAGTAACCCTATTCATGTATGTGTAGACCATGCAAAAAAAATCATCAAATTGATTACTTCCTTCCTTTCTTTGGAAGATTCCCTCATCCTTTTTTTTGTATCAAGATGAAGTAGTAGAAAGCCAAAAACTTTCTTTCCCAAAAATTAATCACTTCTAAAAAATATAACCCCTTCAATTCATCTAATTTTTATAGATTCACTTCATTGCTGTGATTTAAAGAACTCACTTTGATTAGATTTGGTTTCACAGCCGACCAGATCACGTATCATTTATTTATTGGCTGATCTTTGATAAAGAAAATATTCAATTGCTGAAATTTCAGGATACTGGAAAGTTTTTTGAACGAAACCCACAGTGCATACCTATGAAGAGCTGCCGAACGCATTTTGCATTTTGAGTAAATCCATTATAATTTTTGTATTAGGTGAAAGATAAGGTCACAGTTCATTTTTTCATTTTTCAGAACAAGCAAAGAAAATATTGTATTCAAAAAAGGTTTTTGTTACTATTAATTTATTCTAATGGTATAGTTGGATTTGTTCCTTCGAACCCATTCTTTGGATATCCATATCATTACAGTGCATAAAACATATAGTCAACAATCTTTGGGAGACAGACACATTTCCTTCATTTGATATCATATCATATCATGAAAATAACTAGTTTGCCATCTTGAGTGGTGTCCTATATTGGATGTAGAATGATGCACATTTTCATCCAATGTGCTACCGAACCTCCATAACTCATTTATAATTTGTAAGTAATCAATAGATCAGATTGGAACTTGATATAATTTGTTATAAAATGTTACGATTTTTTCAAATTTAAAATTAGTTCTTCACGAAACATTTGTAATGTGTAATATAAAATCTTGTGTAATCATCCACTTTCGGGATACCCCAAAAATAGGATGGGGATGATGAAAAAATATGCCAACTGCACTAAGTGATGGATAGTTTCGATAATCGAATTATGTTATGTATAAAGAAGTTCGCAAAACTTACACAACCATCAGCGACGTCTTCCCTCACACGTCTGTCCGCGTTTGAGTCGCGTTCTCGGTAGTGACGCTTCATTGCTTAGATTGCCACTCTACCCCCGCGCATCGTCCCCTGTCGTCTTACAGTAGACGCGCGTTGCGTCAAGTATACAGAAGTATCCAATTTAAGTGTTTTTATGGGTCAGTATTTTACATATAGTGGCTACCAAATGAGAGGTGGATATATGCTATTGCGGACTTTTATTCAGAACTGTTTGAGATAAACAATCTCACGGTACATTATCTGTAACTCCAACGATTTATGCAGCGCACGCCAAGGTAGCTCTCAGGGAGCAAGAATTTTTCCGACTTACTCAATACTTATCGTTATGTTATGACCAAAATCACACAAAACCTTTGTGAATTGTAGCCTATATGTTATTCTGATATATAAGCTGTATTTATGTAATTTATAATATCAGTATAGATAAAAAAATATAATTTGTATGCTTTCTGGTGTTGTTGTCGGTTAGTGTCGATTTCATCAACTCTGGCCGTAATGTGAAAATCCGATTATAAAAATTACTAATAGATGGTAAAGGAAAGAAAACACATGGCCGAATAATCGAAGAGTTTGTTACCATTCACTTGATTTTGATAATAGCTCTATTCTTTTCCAAAATGCATTTTCCATTTCAAAATAACAAAACAACAAAGTCGTCATTTCTCCTATCATGGAAATTATCAAAGAAATAAATTATCAAATATTCTCAAATTGTTCTATGGAATTGATAAATGTTTGTATAGGACAATGAAAAAGGTTGATACATTTCATTTTGCAAGAATTATTCAATATTTATAAAAATAAATTTATTCATTCACCAAATATTTTGAAAATCAGATTTAAATTTCACATTCAAAATGATACCTAATAACTAACCAGGATTTATCAAGACCAAACAGTCAAATCAGCTATAGATAGACATAAATAATATTCACAATAATTACATGAAATGGGTAAAAATATATATTTTGGAGAGATATATGTGTGTGTTCCATATGAATGTGACATGTTCATTATGGAACACACGTTTTGGCAGTGCCAGCGACAGAAACAATAGACAGTGCTACAATTTTTTTTTGAAATGGGTGTTTCAAGCAAACTTATAACTTTTTAACTATATATTCTTAAGTAATTCAGATTTCTGGTATTATTGTGAGCCATAATATTGTACTCTTGAATTGAAAATAAGCTTTCTTATATCTGTGTAGATATATTGCATATATTTTCTATCCGAAACTGATTTAGAATGATGAAGTAAATAAAAAAGGACAGTTGACTATTTTGGATTACATGGAAATATAAAGTTTACGTTATTTATTAAATATGCCTATTCTAGAGTCTACTTATTTACATTTCTATTCTATTTGTAAGGAAGGTCTTCACATGTAAGACTCAAATAAATAAGGACAATTTCTCAAATTGAATCATTTTTTATCCTAATTAAAATGTATTGAGAAAATCAATTAAGCAAGAAAACAATTTTCCTATGCTCTCTTTCTCATATGAACAGTGAATTTGTGTTTTATTATATTACTCTTCATTTTGCCAGTTTCTGTCTTCTTCATGATTACTGAACGTGGTTTGTGTTTCTGATTTGCAAATAGTTATCACAACTTCCTTATCTAATAAGCATATCCACCTCCTGGGGCATATTTTTGTGAAGTGTCTGGTGGTAAATATCCAGGTGTTTGTTTATCTCTTCCCGGGAATCCCGGTACTGTTGGTTTTCCACCTGGGGAAGGATAGCCTGGACTTGGTTTTCCTGGAAATCCAGGGCTGGGAAATCCAGGGCTGGGAAAACCAGGACTTGGTCCACTGGGAAACTTAGGTCCTGTTGGTCGTCCAGGAGTTGGATACCCTGGGCTAGGACCACTGGGAAATTTGGGTCCTGTTGGCCGTCCTGGGGTGGGATAACCTGGGGTTGGAAAACCTGGGCTAGGACCACTTGGATACTTTGGACCTGTGGGTTTTCCTGGACTTGGATAACCTGGCGTCGGAAAACCGGGACTCGGACCACTGGGAAACTTCGGTCCAGTTGGCCTACCCGGAGTTGGATAACCTGGAGTTGGGTATCCTGGGCTAGGTCCACTGGGGAACTTGGGTCCTGTTGGCCGTCCTGGAGTGGGATAACCTGGAGTTGGAAAACCTGGGCTAGGTCCACTAGGATACTTCGGACCTGTGGGCCTTCCTGGAGTTGGATAACCCGGACTGGGACCTCCAGGTATTCCTGGACTAGGACTTCCAGGTCTAGTTGGGGCTGTGGGTCTTTCAGTATATCTTGGACCTCCTGGACCGGTAGGTCTTCCTGGATACTTTGGATAGGTTGGTTGTCCCTCGTAACTTATCTAAAAATGCATAAACAAATATTAGAATACCTAACAGAACTTTCTAGAAAACCCAGAATATTTTTCAGAAAATAGGTACAGTAACATTAGAAACATTCAGTGGAAGAATTAGTTAAAATGAAAAAGTTGGGCTAATTTTCATTGTACCTTACTGGGATTCCCATTAACCTAGCTAAATTTATGAAAAACTTAAATTGTTAATAGTAGGAGTAACATTAATAACATCAAGTAATAATTTCAGTAGGAATCGTAAAGGTGAGTTTGTTCTGATTATACCTTTGCATGGAATCCTGTAGCCCAATCTGCTGTATATTTGACAACTTGCGTCCTTCCATCAGGTAACTGAACTTTATAAACTCCGTTAGTCTGATCACCATTATTTATAGCGTTGTGCGAATAGTCGTTGCCATATTGTGGCTCTTTCACTTCGTAATTGAACTCAAATGGACTAGCAGGTTTATGAGGAAGGAGAAGATGGTCATTCTGAAAAATAAAATTGAAATTATCTTCAGTAACTTCGACATGATATTCATGAACGATACTATTAATATTCGAAGTGAGATCCGTTAAGAATACAAAATCAAGCCTCAATCAAAATTTAGTATGTTGGTGTGATTTGCAGCATTCAGAACCAGTCAGATGCTTTACCTGTCACGGCAATCAACAAGAAGATGCAAAACAGTACAAAAATTTAGACTGACCAAGAGAATACTGTGACTGGCAAATGTCTGAAATATTGTCAATTGAGACACGAAGCAAAATAATGTACTATCAAATTGAAATATTTTGTGTATAAAAAGAAGAAGGACATAGAGCGGACTCAATGAAAGACCTCGAGTACATAGATGCCAGAGAGAAGATGAGAACGGCATACAATACTTTTGCCGAAAATGGAGATACTTCAAAGGAACTGTGAGAAGAGCAGGCTGGCTATGAACCGGATGTTCAAATTTGCAGACGAGAAAAAGTTATATATCTTCGTAATATCGAAACCAGAAAAATCAGAGGCTACAAAGGGATATGGATCACTAATAATAACATAAATACTGTGGCTCTGAGGGTCAATCACAGAGTTGCACGACATCGTGTAGTACCTGGTTCTTGTATTGAAACGAATCACTGATAATATATCCGTTACATATCGCCAAATATCACTTGGTGAGATTATTGCTGGTTGAGTGGACGAGAGAGGTTCTAGTCATTTAGTCAACCGTTATGTGGAACTATGGTTCGAAGCCTACTGCAGAACAATCAATATTCACTGCATATCATCCAACTTGTGCTAAGGATCGCAAGTTGAAAAGTGAGACTTCTTTAAAATTCTATTTCGGAGGGTCATCATTTGTAGGGGTGAGGGTTAACGTAAGAACAGATTCTACCATATTCCAACTTTGGAAAGATATGAAATCACGGGGCAGGAATAGGATAGTAAGCGACGACTTCAATACTAAGTCATCGCAATGGGTATCTCATTTCGGAAACTGATGAGGATGAATATTGGTAAAATGGCTATCCAAAGATGATCTTATTATACATAATGCTGTTGATGTTCCTTCATTCATCAGAGACAACTGCCAATCTATTATTGATATAACTTTCATCACAAGTACTGTATCGACCAGAATATATGAGTGGTAAGTACTTGGTGAAAACCATCCCATTGTATATGATATGATATAAAATAGAACCATCAATGGACAATAGCGAAGTGCCAAAGGCTGAAAGATAGATATGGTGCTTGGTGAGTTATGCTATCGGTTACAACAATCACATAATCACCAGTGTCATGACGGGGGGTATGACTGATTCTTTGGAAAATAAATCGAATATCAGTTTATTAGTGGACAGATGTAATTGAAAACTCTAAAAATGCCTTCGAAAGAAAAGATCCGGTAACAGAGAAAATGAAGGCGTTGTCGAACATAAGAAAAGGTTTCAAAAAGCAGAAAATACATCTAACCAGAAAGCTTGTGTTTCAAGATTCAGAGCGAGGCGTGACTTCGGAATGTTATACGGGAGAACACAAAACTGATGGGTTCGTCTTAGCCGGCCGGCATCCGAAGAGACAAGCTTTATACAAAACTAACAATGGAGTCGAAAAAACCTATGGGGCACGCGGCTCAAGCACAAAGTACTGGAATGGACATCACTTGAGGCAGCGACCACAGTTTGACATTACTCGCGGAACGAAGATACAAGGAACGTATTTCATTTTCAACATAAGCGATTATGTGGAAATATACAGCAGAGAAGGCAGTGTAGTTGACCCCAAAGAAAAAATGAAGCCTCGAGAAATATCAGTGAATTGTGGAGGAAATACATTCGAGGAAAAAATTGAAATATCACGATACCCAGTGAATAGGTCAAGTGATACCTTGCCCTAGATTTGAGAAGAGTTGACTGAAAGATCGGAGTCACATGGAATGTGACAGGAAAAATACTCTGGAAATGAATATGAAGAGAATAAAAGAGTTACAAATGGTAGATGCTGGTCCGATCCGGCATCGCCCGGTGAGATACCATTGCAACGGCTTAAGCAGCGTGAAGGTGCAAACGTTTCGTTTGCACCTTCACGCTTGTTTCCGGTTTCAATGATGAAAATATAAGAAAAAATTTGCATGATGACGCTCCTAGTGTCAAAATACTCCAGAGGTAAAATAGCTCCACAATCAGGTCTTCGGATGGGGGCTGATTCGAGGGCATCATCCTGCAGAAGCTTTTCGAAAACCACTATTTCTGACAGTCAGCAGGGTCTTTCTGACATCAGTTTACAGGGAAACATCATAGTTATTGTAGTTGCTGAGAGGCCCACTAGCAAGTTCGAAATCGATTTCTGCAGCATCAGAACACTCCACTCGAATATAAACTCAGCACTGACTTGTGGTAGTCAGTGCTTCTCTATATCCCGGTCATGAATTTCACTCCCGATTCAGACATAACTTTGCAATATTCCTTTTCACCAGAAGCGATCTCTCCTGTCTTCGAGAAGAAATGTTAGAACCCCAAAACTTTGATGTTATGTGGTTTAAAGTAATATCACAGAAGATCACTGAATTCATATGCTGCGTTTATCGACCACCAAGCGATACACAATATAGGGAACTGTTCTCTCCACTTGTGAACACGATTGACTTTCCTCAAATCAATCATCACAGTACCGGAATTTCCATATTCGGTGACTTCAATGTCCACAATATTGAATGACTCAAATTTTCAAATATTAACGACGAACAAGATCGCGAAGCTGAGGCTTTTGCAATAAGCAGTGGATTTACCCAGCTCACTCTTCTGGCCACTCCAACGATATTTCTAACGGCTCTTTTCTGGAGTTTGAGTACCCTATCGGCCTCCTGTGATACTCCCCATACTATGATTCCATATGTTATTACTGACTGAAAGTGTGCAAAATATATTATCATCACTACTGATTTTTCGACGGTCTTCCTGAGTTGGTTTAGGAGATAACACTTTGTAGCTAGTTTTTTACATTTATATGGGTAGTCTATGTACAGCATTCATTCACATACAGCCCAAGGAACTTCGTAGAAGGTGCTTGAGTGATAGATCTGCCGTTAGATTTTAGCAACAAGCTGTGGTCGAGTTTATTATTTGAGTGACTAAATCTTATGAATGTTGTCTTCTTCATGTTCAAAATTATCCATTTGAAGAGAAACATTCCTCAGATATTTTGATTTCTTCATTGGTCTTCAGGACTGTTGCTACATTGCTCCCTGTAGCTATGTCTTGGCACAATCATGTCGCTGTAACTGCAAAGGCTGGAACACTGTTCTGAACCAGAAAATTTTATACCCCTCAGCAACTTTTGGTGCTTTATAAATCTCAGATCAAACCTTCATTGCTCTCATGTATAGAGCTCCACCTCTAAGCATACCCTGAAGCTGCTATTTTCCATCCAGGAAAGAACCATCCGTCTAATTGGAGACGCGAACATCACTGGCAACCTTGGTAGTCTGAAACATCGAAGAAGGGTTGGAGATCTGTCTTTCTTCTATAGATACTTTCACGGGAAGTGTTCAAGTGACTTGTCACATTTGATTTCACCAGGAGCGGTACATATCAGAAATACGTAACGAAGTGTGGCTGCTCATCGTTTTGAGATTCAACTCTGTACACCTCGAACTTCACTGTTTAGGAACTCTCTCATTTGAAAAACTACGATTTTGTGGAATGAAATTCCTGAGAACGTTTTTGCGAAGGGATTTAATCTTCAGCAATTCAAATCCAATGTGAATCGCTACTATTGCACAGGCACCGTTTTTAGAGCATTTTAAGGATTTCCTTGTAGTGCCTGTGTTTTGTGCCTGTGATTTACCAGTTGAGTTTATCAAAAGCAGCAGCTATCAATCAACGAGGTAGAAACAGAGATCAAAAAGATGACAGTAAAAGTAAATATGAATATAGAAAATAAAATAGAAAATTCCATTCTATAAATATTCAACTAAAGGTCTACTTTTTTCAGAAGAAGGAGAATGGTGAACTGAAAGACGCATCAGCACTATTTCTAGACAGGCTGGCAATAGAAGCAATAAAAAAAGTCGGTGGAATACTACCGACTACTACCTTGAAGAATCCTGGAAGATATGAACTCAACTTACTTTGTTGCCATTTCTCGAATGAATGAAAAATGGCCAGATCAGTCCTTTTCGGAAAGGAGGTTAAACCAGCTAGAGGAAGCATATCATATATACTAGTACTGGCCAGATTGAAGAAAGGAATTTTCGTAAAGGAGAAGCTATCGGATTCGGTTTCAGGATTCGGTCATCAACGATATACGCCTCAGAAAGAGTAGCGAACATCTTGGTGAAAGCATATCCATATCATATAGGAGTTATGCATATAGCATAAATAGGGTTAGCTCGCATTAGTTTCTAGTTTTAATCTTATTCTTTGAAGATGATCACTTGGTGATCGAAACACGTGTCGAGGTGTTGAAAATAACGATTTGGTGTTGGGAAAAACCCAACACTCCAGTAATAAGCATGATTCAATTAATACACGCCAAATACATATATTGGCATTTGAACGATCTACATGATATACAGGGTAATGGTCGACCAATTTATCCATCCTCTCTCAGATATTCACATATGCCGAATTGTACTGAAATCAGATCAGTGTTCAAGACTGTACTCACCAACCAACTGACTACGAACAGATTGATGTCAGATATTGTTACTACTGACTTTTGTCATGTAAAAGAAAGAGTATGACTCTTGTCACTACTTAGAATCATTATAACAAATCAATAATAATTCATAGTTTCCAAAAATACTCTCACCTCTCCAAAACCTGGAATTGGGCTTCCTGGAGTAAATGGTGGTGGAGATCCTGGTTTCGGGGGGGTTCCAGGGAAAGGAGGTGGGGTGGGTCCTCTCGTGGGGGGTGGTCCGTAAGTAGGAGGTGGTGTTGGTCTTGAGGTAGGTGGTGGTCCATAAGTGGGCCTGGGAGGAGTTCCAGGAGGTCTGAATGTTGGGAACGTTGGTGGTCCATAAGTGGGTCGCGGAGGAGATGGGGTTCCAGGAGGTCTGTATGGTGGAGATGTAGGAGGGGGTCTGTAAGTGGGCCTTGGAGGACTTGGAGTTTCAGGGGGTCTGAATGTTGGAGGAGGTCCATATGTAGGTCTTGGGGGACTTGGAGTACCGGTAGGTCTATATGTGGGGAAAGTGGGAGGTGTTCCTGGAGGTTTGAATGGAGGAGAAGTTGGTGGTGGGCCATATGTGGGTCTTGGTGGAATGGGTTTTCCTGGAGTGGGTCGATATGGGGGAGCGGTAGGTCGTGATGGTTGAAAAGCTGGAGGAACAGTCGCAGCTGGAGGTCTTGTTGGGAAAGTAGGAGGTCGGGATGGAAATCCTGGAGTGAATGATGGAATCGACGGGCGGGATGGAAAGCCTGGTGAAGGTGTTGGGAATGGGACTGACGGTTTCGGGTATTTGTAGCCTTCTTTTGGTGGAAGATATGCATTCAGTCCTGGAGCGATTGCAGCATATGCTATGGCACTAAGGCAACATAGTAGTGTGGGAATCTGAAAAAAATCGAAATCGTCATTCATTCCTAATGATATCAAATAACATAAAGGTGTAGATAAAGAAATGTTACGAACACTTTTTCTACATGTTCTAACTAAAACTGTTTATAAGAATTCAAATACAGTTGTTTGGAATGTTCAATACATGAAATTCATCTTATTATGGAAATTAATTTTGCATATATGGTTGTCTTGCAGACAACCAATCCCCCCTCCCCCATAGCGTTTATGTGGGACCAGAATCGGCTCAAAATAATTACAGTGCCACTTACAAATTGAAACTTTTTTCAAAAAAGTACCGTTAGATCTTCAGGATGTGATATGATATCGAATGTAACGAATGCTAGAAGTATGGACTCTCAGGTTTATTTGTTATTCTCTCTTTTCTGAACCAGTTGTAAAATGGAACAGATAAACTATCCAATCATATTCGTAGTTGTTCAGTATGATTTTCAATACTCTCAATGCACAAAACGCTTACGAAAACATCCTTGCCACTTGACTTACAAGGTGACTTAGCCTTAACGTACTTTCACAAAAAACCATTACCCAAGTAACTGTGAGTACATTAAATGGTGGCATATTCAACAATGAATATCACTGAACAGCGTTATCAAAGAACCTTTAGCGGAGGCAGGTTTTTAGTAGAAATTTTGAAATGGGTACGTACAGGAGAAAGAATAAAAGTAAACCGTGGCACGACCTTATCTGAAAACGAATTTTAGAATTTCGATATCTTTTTTCATTTTCCCACTGTTAACCTCTTAGTTGTATATACGTAGTATCAACTAATAAGTCGGTGTAAATAATCAATTGTCAAAAATATACTACTGAAGAAGGAGTCAATAATGAGTAAAAATGGAGGAATATCATCAATTGAATTCTTTTGACTCCTATAAAAAATTGTTACAGAAAATTAATTTGCACATTGCATAACTTTCATTTTTATGTGTTTCATATTTCATTTTTATGTGTTTCATATTTCATTTTTATGTATTTCATGTTTTCTCATTGTTCTCACGGATTGCCTATCAAATAAGGAAATATATATTCACGGTTCTAAATTTAGAAATGAATGGAGGGTGGACTTCATGTAGACCTGGGGCTGTACCAAAATTATGTATATCAGTTCTTTCATTTTCACTACAATTTTTTTCAACTTTGTTAATTTTTTATGAAAGCCTTCCAATTGGCTGAAATACTCAAATACAAATTCATTCGATTCATCTGTTGGGCTGTGCCTCTTTTGAGGAACTATTCGGAAGCTTGTGACTAAATTTCGAACCCAGTTTACATTATTGGACATTATCAACCACCAATAGGCATACGTAGAGTGAAGACCAAAGAAAATATTGCAGCTGTATCCGCCAGTGTTCGTGATGACCGTGAAATATCGATTCGCCGCCGTTCGCAGCAATTGGGCCTCTGTTACACCATACGTGGAAAATTTTGCGAAAGGATTTTGGTGTTGAACCTTATAAGATACAGCTGGTGCAAGAATTGAAGCCACACGACCTCCCACAACGAATAACATTTGGTGAATGGGCGCTGGCAAAGTTGAAGAAAGATCCACATTTTTACCGAAAAATTGTGTTCAGCGTGTGAATGGATACATTAACAAGCAAAATTGCCGCATCTGAAGTGAAGACCAGCCACAAGCGTTGCAACAGCTACCGATGCATCCTGAAAAAGTCACTATTTGGTGTGGATTATGGGTCGGTGGCATCATCGGGCCGTACTTTGCAAAGACGACAATAACCGGAAAGTTACTGTGAATGGCGAGCGCTACCGTGTGATGATTGACTGCTTTTTGTTGCCCAAAATGGAAGAATTGGACATGCCTGACAAGTGGTTCCAACGGTGCTACATGCCACATGGCACGCGAATCAATGTCCCAATTAAGAACCGCCTTCGGTGAACAGTTTATCTCACGTTTGGGGCCCGTCAATTGGCCGTCTAGATCGGGTGATTTAACGACTTTGGATTATTTCTTGTGAAGCATTTATACGTGAAATACTGGTCGATATGTGTGCCAAAATTGGACCTTGCGCATGGACCATCTAAAGCGGAGCCGCGGACAATATTTGCATGAAATCATTTTCAAACATTGAATTATATCGATCGTTCTATCAATTCCAATGAAGATTTCATCAATTTCTTCAAATTTTTTGTGTTGTTTTCAAAATCAAATCCTATACCCCTTAAAAAATCACCCGTTATTAAAAGTATATTCAAATATGGAATTTCATTGTTGACCTGAATTTCTGGGGCGAAGTGAAATCAGATGATTTCAACAAATATTTGATTGTTGGTAATTATTGCAAAAACATTCCATACTCTTTATCAATACTCTTGATATTTCCAATTTCATTTAAATTTTCAAACAATTAGATCGAGTATTTCTGTGCTAGTATTTCTGTTACTTCATTCATTCACCTTTTGTCACATAACGAGTCTGGTAACACGTTTTGTACAAGGAAACTCCAAAGTTGTTCAACAAGCAACATTCACATTAAAAAAATTCAATACATAGGGTATCCCAGAATTCAGTTAATAAACAACATCTCCGTTATTAGTGAAGCTAGAAAAGTAAAAGATAGGCGGCCTTGAAAGACATCAGAATGTCCTTATGAAATAATCTTTGAAATATTTTCATCTACTGCAGTTCACAAAAAACTACCCTCAACTTTTTTTCAAATGGTACCCCTAACAATCATTTACTTCACTTGAGTCTTCCTGTCATTGTGAACAAGAATATAAGAATGAGAAAGGTAGTATTATTTATAATAGCCACACTATGAATAGTTATTTTCAATAAAATATCTCGAAAATATTATTGAACTGAATGAAGTACAGAAAATTTCACAGGCTCTATAAAAAATATTCCGAAGCTGACAAGCTTCATATCGTCTCTATCGTCTCATATCGTTCCCTAGTGCAAATACATGTAATCGTTACAAGTGTGATGATATGAAAGCACTGAAAGCACTTGGTATACATTTTTTCCAGACAACCCCATAGAAAAAATCACGTGGAGTCGTATCAGAGGAACGGGCTGGCCATTGGACCCCTGTTTCCTATCCATCTCTGAACATATGTATCATTGAGATGGGTAACAATGTGCGAATTAAGGGAAGAATCAATAAATTGTGGCAATATCATCATTGATTGTACGGATAGTTGAACGCGTTCTAATAGTTCAAGTGAGGTGTCCAGCAGTGAATCTTAATGTCGTGGTCCTATTGAAGTACCGGTGTATCCATAGCAAAATGCACACTGCTTTTTAATGTGGTACCTGTTTATATTCAATTATCTCTGACCAACCCCAAATTTTTCTGGTAACGCTCGAACCGAAACATGTGGAATCATTTCTGCATATACGAGAACATTCCATATTTCTCACTTCTGGCTGGTGCTGATACAGATCGTAATGAGGTTATTATTTATTGAAGTTGAAAACTTTGGAAGCGGTTTATCACAATATCGGCAGTGACAGGGATACTAGGTATCCCTGTCAGGATACAGAAACAAGGTAGAGAATAGTTTTTTCGAAGATGTTTAGCATGATGTAGATGATATTTGTAGGGGGGCATTTCATCGTCTCTACAAGCTGACATAGTTTCAGTTCTGCAATTCTCATCATGACGAAAATATCGAATTCTGGGAAAATCTTGAAAAACCAAAGTTGAGTGTGATTTTCTATAAACTGCAGTGATTACAACGATTTCGAAGGTGATCTCAGAAGGCCATTCCAACATCATTCAATGCATCCATTGTTCCATTTTTACGAAAATCTCGCGAAATAAGAGAATTCTGGGATAACCTAATACCTGGATAGAGTACAGTTTACCTTAAATGTTATTCGACAACATGTCTTCATATATCTAGGCATAGGGATTGTAGTCTTTATATAAAATATCATATAAAATAAAAAAAATATCACACGTTTCACAAACGTCACAGTTTTTCGTAAGTTACATATGTAGCATCATATCATTACCATCATCTTTTATCAATTTCATATCTCAATGCAGCATAGGAAGCAATGAAAAAATGTGAAAAACACATATTATGTGTCATTCATCGTAATTCATAGAATCAAGCACGTGGCTTTATATTGAAAATGCATTTTTACATCTACCATCACGATGACGATGGTAGTGCTCATCATCTGCATTTTTGGTCTTTTATCATTCACGACACGTGCCACTCGACAGTTATTTATTATCAAAACAAAAGATCGAATATTTTACACCTGAACGAAGAGACAAACAGGAAGGTACATTTAATTATGTTGCCTACGGCATCCTCCGAGGATGCTGCAGCGTAAAGACTAGCAGGACCGCATTCGATTGAAATTCAATATTTGTGAATGTGGGATAATTTGAAACAATGTTTTCGATTCTATTATCATGAAAGAAACTGATTTTCGTAGAAAGCAATGAATAACACAGGCCACCAAAAAATGTTTGTCTTGCTGCCGAAAAAAAAACAACTGATTTTGGTTAATTCATCTGTGCTGATTCCAAAAATACAAAAATACAAACCTTTTCTTTGTATCACCTCTAGTTTTCGAGATATGACATACTCATCAAATACTTAAATACTCTTACATTTTAGTGTATTCCACCACTAGAATTGTAATATGTTTATGAACAAACCTAACAAATTCTAAGACAAATGCATACTAATGACTTCTAATTAAAGTGTACTTATTGGAAATGCCCATAACATGAAATTAGCGCTAATTGCTTCTTACTTATTGTCCGATAAGTAAATAGTATTTTCACGATAAGTAAATAGTATTTTCACGGAAATGGCCTTAATAAACTCCTATAAAGTCGACTGCATTCCATTGTAAAATTTAGTCTGAACTTGAGTTTCGTTGCAAGAGTTTGTTTGTGACAACTGAAATCCATAGCTTCTACAAGCAGGCGTTTTTTGCTACATATGTGGCGAGTACATTATAAAGGAAAGTAGAAAATCAGTTTGTGATT